ATTATCAGGGGGTGTCTTATTTTGAGGGAAACAGGGTATTAGCAGGAAGCAGGAAGGTCAGTTGGGCATAGTGGTTAATGGCACTGGGCTAGAAACTGGGAGACTGTGAGTTCTAGTCTTAGCAGACATGAAGCCACTTGGTAACTTGGAGTCAGTCACTTTCTTTTAACCTAGAAAAAGACAATATCAAACCATTTCCCAAAAAAATTTGCCAGGAAAATTGCATGAATTTGTCCAGGTTGTCATCAGCAGTCAAGACCAACTGAAGGATCAGAAAAATCAACCAAGATGCATACTGAACCTATTTGTGTGATATGTGATTTTTACTAGAAAAAACTACAAACAAATTAAATCCAAAACAAAGTGATATTTTGAAGAAAGAAAAAAAGTTATTGTAGACAAACTATCAGTTAATTATGCAAACATACATTAACCAGCCAGCAAATGAATTTTTAAAACATATTTCATTTAGCAATTTTTATTAATAATTGTGTCATATAATACCATTGTATTTCTTTGATTATAGCAGGAGTTATAGAAATATGTTATCATGATATTTTTTTAAAAAAGTTTATCTCACCAGGCTCAAGGTTGACTCAGCCTTCCATCCTTCCGAGGTAGGTAAAATGAGGACTCGGATTGTGGGGGCAATAAGCTGACTTTGTATAAAAAAAGAATACCGCTTAGGGTGGGCCGAAAGCCCTACTAAGCAGGTATATACAAAAGTATAAAGGCTATTGCTTAATGCATTGTAAGCCGCCCTGAGTCTCCGGAGAAGGGCGGCATATAAATCGAATCAATCAATCAATCAATAAATTTTGTGGACACTGAAAGGGAGGGCACAGTTGTACTATGGATTAGCCAGGAGATACTACTGATATAGTAATTGATATAGTATTAATGAGTATATTGCTACTAAAAATTGATTTATCTTTTTTTAATACTACTATTGTACTGTACTGATATGTTACAGTATAAACCAAAACAATAATTTACACCTTATATTTTTTTTTCTGTTGTTGGGTACTTGGTGTAACTACATTACTAGGATTTTATAATTTTATAAATAATTGATTTTTTTTGTTTTGCATTACTACCCTTTTGCATAGAAATAATAATAGGTTCTTTAATGTTCTACAGTACATATTATATACACCTTTTGACTTTTACCTTGTATACTAATAACACAAATGTCCAACATTACTATTTTCATTTCAATATTAAATTATTTAAATTATCAAAAATACCAATTTTTGAGTATCTATATATTAGATGACATTATTATGAATACTAAAACATTGCTGGCAATAGGTCTTACAGTGTATTGGCCAACAACCCCCATTGTTGTTGTTGTTGTTACAAGTATAAATACACAAGCACTCACACAAAAAAACTCTAATATTTGGATTTTTCTTCAATGTTTATGAAAACTCTTCTCAAAGTAAACATTGAAAGCTAAATCTGAGTTTCTGCCTATATCTAGTCTCATATAACGAGGTGCTGTAGAAAGCATCTATTCCTTTTATTATGGTTACAGATTTTGCTTTTCACACCACAGGTCATTTTGTTTCGGAGTTCAGAGTCCAGGCACAAAAACAGATGCTTGCTACATTTAAGTGTAGTAATAGCTAGGTTTAATAAAACAAAAACCTTAAATAAGGAAGTAGTAACTTATTAAGTTGGATTTATATATTAATTTAATTTTCAAAGAAATTAAAAGTAAATTATTAAAACTGTAGATCCAAATTTTAGATAAGCAGATGTGGACTTGGAAACTAAACAGAAAAAATATATAGATATTTTGTAGTAAAATGATTAATGCTGAAATGGCCTAGCGTTGTTAAGCATAGTACTTAAAAGTTCCTAAATTCAGAGTTAGCTACATCCACACTTTGTTTATATAATTTCACTACGAAGATTAACATTTTAAAAGAAAGGTAGTTTTCTTCAAAATATTCAAGAGGGGAATAGGGATTGTATAATTAAGGACATTAATTAAACCATTACTTCTAACATATGTTTGGACCAGACTAGCATCATCTCTAGCAGTAGATAGAATAAGATGGTCTTTAAAGATACAAAGTTGGCAATACCCATGTGTTTCCTCAACTTTGAAGGATTTTACTTGCAGCTATTTTTGAATGTTTTCCAGAATCCTGGTAATCTCTTACCAAACAAAGAAACCAAACATCCTGGTAATCTCTTACCAAACAAAGGAAAACAAGTTTTGTGGCACACAAAGACACATTTATTATAATTCAAACCTTCATGCACTTGGTTTATTTATCAGTAGTTTTTTTTTTTTAAAGGAATCCTAGCATAGTGGTTAAAGAAACTTCCTTATTATATGTTGTATTTTGCAACCTACTCATGAGTTATATTGGATGGACAGGTGATAGATTGATAAAAAGATAAAACAGAGGAAGTCTTGAGGCAAGCTTTTTCAGAGTTCCCACTACGATGCTGAAATGATTTAGCCTCCTCACAGACACTTAGCCTTGCAATCAAGGTTATCCCTCCTCCATTGTGAATATATGCAAATAGCAAACCAATTTTCGAAAACGCGCTGACTCTCTAGCGGGAAAAGGCAGATTGCGCCCGTCAACCTCCCTCGGGGAAGGCAAACCATTTACAGCAGGGATCTCCAACCTTGGCAACTTTAAGCCTGGCGGACTTCAACTCTCAGAATTCCCCAGCCAGCTTTGCTGGCTGGGGAATTCTGGGAGTTGAAGTCCGCCAGGCTTAAAGTTGCCAAGGTTGGAGACCCCTGATTTATTGAGCATCCAAAGTGAAGTCTCTCTGCCCCCAAACTTCTCCTTTTGAAAATACACACTAACGGAAGTTCACCTCCCTAATTCAGTGTCAGTTTCAAACCAGTTCTCTCAGTCATAACAACTCTGCTCCTTCAATAAGCATTTTTCTCCCGAGAAACCACGGGGGAGACGTTCTCCTCAGCCGGACTTCCAACAAGCTCCCCCAAACGCGCGTGCGGCAGGCTATGCCCGCGAGATTCCGCCTTCAGGGAAAGCCGCCGCCTTCACTCGCTACAGCAGCCGAAGGCGGGGAATGTTTGCGAGCGGCCGCAGCACGGAGCTCTTTACAATAGCGTAACGCCGGCGGGCGGTGGCTTGCTGCGGCTGTGCCTCACGACGTCGGGACAAGGCTATTCCGAGCGCCTTTGCTCGGCTTAGTTGGAGCGGTGCGCACGCTTCTTTTCCGCCATCTCAGGGGCTCAGGTGTCCTGTCCCGTCCCTCTCCCGCCTAGCGCCTTGGCGCGCGGGGAGGATCAAAGTGAAGGCAAGCAAGGCTCCATAAGGGAGCGGAGCACGTGAGCGAAGGGCAACTCTTTCCCTCTCTCCCAAGAGGTGAAAAGGCCGCGCAAGGAGGCTTCTGATAATTTAGCCGCAAAGCTCGCTCTGAAGTTCGTTCCTTATATCTCTTCTCTCCCCACCCCCACCCTTCGTTTCCAGAGTGTTCCTCATTTTGGCAGGACGATGTTAAGAATTGACGGGGGGGGGGGGGGGAGAAGAAAGATTAGGAAATTTGATTAAGCGAGGTTACTGATTTCGTCCTCCGCCCCATGAAACGGAACTTGAGATTTCTCTATTTAAGAGTCCGCGTCAGAACAAAGTCGTTTCTCCATGATGGCTATTTTCCAAGAAAACTCGCAGGACCAAATAAATTGATGTTATGAAAACGAGAGTCTCCTTTGGGAAAAGAAAGGGAGGGAGGGGAAAAAAAAATAGTGCCTCAGCCAAGAGAGCTTTTCGAAGAAGCCGAGCAATGAGACGGCATTTACCACCTCTTCAGTCTTTCGAGCGGAGGTGGGGGTGGGGGTGGATGGTGGAATAGCGCCTTTCCCTTCACTCCCCTACCTTTCTAGATACACGCAGTTGTTTCAAAGCTGACCAAACTTATGGCAATCTGTACTTCGCTTTTTTCCCCCTTTTCTTTATTTTTTCCCTCCAGCGATTGCTTGTCCCCTTGCTAGTCATCCTTCCGCGCGCGCGCACCCAGGGAGACAAAAGCCCTTTTTTGCTTTAGCGTTTCCCCGACCTCGGGAAGCGGCGGCTCCCAACTTTTTAAAGCGCTTTGGGGAAGGGGGCATCCGTGTAAGGCACAGAATATAGGCGTGTAAAAGATGTCTATCCTTCCGCATCGGAGCTAAAAATCGATATAGATATATACTTATATACATATATATTCAAATATATTTAATCTGTGCGGATCTGCTGTATTCATCTGATTCTCCACCCATCCATCCATCTGCTGATCCGTTGGAGACACAAAATTAATACTCGAATCTGTCTTAATCTTCCTGAGTGCAACTGAAAATTCAGAGGGCTACGAAGTTTTTCCCTCCTCCTTCTCTGCACCTTACAACCTAAGGATGCCCTATTTAAGACAGGAGGTGGATTAGCAAAAGTGTTAATTACTGAAGCTTACAACTGTACCTCTAACTGATTTGTATATCGCCAGATCTTTCACACCCAGTTACTGTCCGTCTGATTTATTTTTTAAAGAGGCTGAAAAGGCTGATTGGTCTCCCTTCCCTCTCCCTCCCTCCCTCCCTGTCTCTCTCACACACAATTTCTGCTTTATTATCAATATTGTCAGTCTGCTTATCTGGATTATACAGAACCCTTCCCTGCATTCCTGAAGCTCCCATTGCTAAATGGAACATGTCTGCGGATGGATGACACATAATCTGATTAAGGCAAATAAATACATACAAGAAAACACCCACGTTCAGGCAGCTCTGAATTATTCAGGGTTCAGTAGCAAAGCACGTCCCTCCACCCTCCTTTCGCTTCCCCACAAGATTCCCCGCATTAATTTACTTTCCTGTCGACTTTGTGATTACTTTTTTTGGGGAAAAAAAATCCACTTGGCTGCTGCTTTTCCCCTGACCCTGGTCGCCGCCTTCCCTCTCCCACCATCTAGCACGCTAGTCCCTATGATCCGCACCATCACAGTCACCAGTGTCCCCCACTCCTCACCTTTGGCGAACGAAGGGGGTTCGAGACTCAAGCACAACAGGAACCAGGCGGCTACCCAGCGGCTCATGATCCTTGGATCCCCCAAGGGACGATCCCAAGTAGATGAAAAAAAAAAGAGGCGTGAGTTTAGCGCAGGCAGAGCAGGGCGGAAGGATGGAAGAGCCCTTCTATCTAGCCACTTGGCGATTAAAACCTATTTCTTAAAATTATTTTTAGTCGAATGAAAACCTTTCTGCCTTGTGGCTCAAGAAAGGGAAAACTCTCCTTTTCCTCCTTCCCTCTTTCTATCACTCTTTTTTCTCCTTTCCTGACAGGTTCTGCGTCTCGCCTAACATTAAAGAGGAGATCTGGGAGCGCAATTCGGAAGTGCCACGAGCCTACTCGCCGCTCGCAGAGTCAAGTGCTGGTAGGTGTGTGCGGGTGGGAGAGGGAGAAAGGAGGAGAGGCTCGCTCTTTTCCCTTCCGTCTGTCGTGACAGCCTCTTGACTGGCTGCTCCCGCTGCCGCCGCCACCGCCACCGCCGGGAAGAGAACAATGAAGAGAGAGCAAGGGAGGGCTGGAAGAAAAAGCTGCGCTGGCTGGGAAGCGTACTGTATACAAACAGAGGCGGCGTGCCTTGGTCGGAGATGAGAGCCCTTCTCTCCTCCGTTCTGATTTCTTCCTCCTCTCCTCTTCTCCTTTCAGTCAGACAGCTGCTTCTGATGGAGAAAAGCGGAAAAGGACTCTGGACACACCCCGCCTTCTGATTGGCTCATCTTTTTCTCTGCGGGGAGGGCAGAGAGAAGGAATTGGAGGTCTTGAAGTTGTCTAAGACCCCTTGGTGTGTGCTGGTAGCCAAACCCACACAATCTTGCATCCCAACTGGCATCCCAATGGAATTAGCCTCCGATGGAACAGAAGGTGCCTGATTTTGACTACCATTTGGGCACTTCAGGTTCATCTGCATCCCTGGGTGCTCTCTGGACTTCCATACCTCATACCATGCTAGGGGACAACCTTGGCTGCTGCCTTCCCTCCCATCACAAGGTATGCCAAGCACTTTTAACCAGTTTCCCCTTTCCAATTGTGTCACACAGCATAGGTGGGCCAGTCTTTGCCACTGACTTCTAAACTGTTACAAGCCCAAGCTCAGTCACCACTTGGTAATATTGACTGTTCATTACTGACAGGTATCATCCATATGTGCAGATGTCCCTCTGAAGAATTCCAAACTATTTCCAATACAGTGGACTATTTCTTTCTAGATGATATCACAACATGCAGTGCTCTTTTGCATGCTTTAGGAGTCACTCTGCCTGGATAGTTGCTCTAATTTCAAAAAAATCTTTGACTTTGAACCATCTAATTTTCACCTTGTAGTTGTCTGAGCCCAGAACATGTCTCATTATGGGTAATACTTTTAAGGGTCATGCCATGTTAAACATATAATCTAGACCTACGACTATACATCTGTAGGGAATCAGGTTAGGCAGAACAGTACAGAACAGAATAACAGAGCTGGAAGGGACCTTGGAGATCTTCTATCTAGTCCACCCCTTCTCAGACAAGAAACCCTATTTCAGACAAATGGTTGTCCAATCTCTTCTTAAAAACTTATGGTGTTGGAGCAACCACAACTTCTGGAGGCAAATTGTTCTACTGATTAATTGTTCTAACTTTCAGGAAATTTCTCCTTAGTTCTAGGTTGGTTCTCTCCTTGATTATTTTCCATCCATTGCTTCTTGTCCAACCTTCAAATGCTTTGGAGAATAGCTTGACTCCCTCTTCTTTATGGCAACCGCTGTGATATTGGAATACAGCTCTCATGTCACCCAGTCCTTCTTTTCATTAAACTAGACATACCCAATTCCAGCAAGCGTTCTTTACTTTTAGCCTCCAGTCCCCTAATCATCTTTGTTGCTATTCTCTGCACTCTAGAAAGACTTGACATCTTTTTGACATCGTGACAACCAAACTTATATTCAGTATTCCAAGTGGTAGCAAAGGTAGCTTAGATACTAGTCTAACAGAAATGGTTACTCAGAATTATCTAACGAGACTCAACGTGTTATTTAGATTATCCTATTAAACCATGCAGGGACCCGTCAGTGGCGAAGAATGAAAAATTGACTCAAAGGTACAAATAAAATAAAATAAAAATCAACTAAGCAATGCATGCTGATATCTACAATATTAATTGTAGATATTTGCCTTCATGTCTGCCAGGCTACTTATTTGCTTTTTCATATCATAAGAAAATGCTTTAAAGTAAATCACATGACCATTGCATCAGATGACCATCTTTACCATTTCTGACTTCTTTTAAAAAGTGAGTTACTGCAAACTGCTTCTCTACACACCCAGACATACACACTCTTACACCCTGAGTAACTAATGGGATTCAGGAAACTAGGAATGGTGATTGGGAAGCAACATCACTCTTAGCAAATCATATTTTCTGACTTTTCACACTTATTATAGTAGACATTTTTTAACAGCAAAACTTCTCCTCCATACTCTGATACTGCATAAACTTCTCAACTATCTCCATGAAACAGAACAGGGTGCTTAACTCTGATTTACACATTAAAATTGGAACCATCAATTAAAACGCACATGAGTGATTTACATCTAGACACATGATTTTTCTTTTCCTTTTCTTAACTGCATGATAGAGCAACACAATATACAGGCGAGGGAGTTGTGAAAGTGAGGAAAGCCTATAAATTATGTCTCTTATGAATGTCATGCATCACAGGATGAGATCTATCATAAAACATTATTTTATAAAGTTGTGGTTAAAGCTTGTACAGCATTTTTAATCTTTATGCTAGCACTCCATATGGACCTTGGGACATGCTCACAACACATCTTTTGCCAAACAAGAATTAGCTATTGTCAAAATAATGAAATATCTATAATTATAAATTGTCGCCAGATAAGGGATGTTCTGGTCCTCTTAAACAGTGTTCCAGTTAGATTGGGAAGGACACTTTGATCAAAATGTGGCAGTTGTCAATGGGCATATGTATGGCTCAACATTGATTTGTAAGATGGGATGAAAGTAAGTAACAATGCATTAATAGTCCTAGTACAGTAATGGTATTATTTCCTCAAGCAACTGACTGAAATCATGGACACATTCTCAATTACCAAATATATCTTGGGTATAATATAATTTGCACAAAACTTTAGATAAGTAAAACATTTCTGTATTTTGGATTCCTGCATTGGTTTGCCAACAAATGCAGCATATTCCATGGATCAATGATTTTGAGAATAATAAGGCATGCACACCCACCCACTGCTGCAAAGGATTACTTGTGAGCCAGAGCCCTGTAATGGATGTAATTCCCCATGCTGGCCACTGTTATAAGCAAAATATGTATTACAGGCTAGACATATCAAAATGCTCAAAGCCAATTTGATTACCAATATGAACTCACAGGCATGCATGTGACTGACTGAGGTAGCAATCTTTTCACAATGGGCAACATGCAAGGTTGATATTAATATCTGTGTCTGGAAAATGGAATGTGGCTCTTTCACATTGTAGCAGTCTCCAATGTAAACCACAATTTTCAACAAGAACCTCTCATATCCAGACAAATGCTGCCTACTGCTTTCCTCCCAGGCAACACTGCTAAGCCATTTCTGTGTTTAAGTCCCTGACAGTCAACCAACAATCTGTTATTGCTAGTTATCCCTTAACTGAAATAGCTTATAGTTTTCCTGATAGTGGTGTTATGCTGATGAAGGTGAGTCCAGAAGGTGAGTGCAATATAAAAAGCGGGTAACATAGGTCACACGAGCTGGTGAACCAAGGCACATTTTGCTATGCCATCAGTACTAGGTTCAAGGGGGAGGGGTATTTTCATGGGGTACATATACCAACTTGGCCTCCAAGACACAGATTCTTACAAGTCAGCAAGACAGCCAGCTCCTCTTTCGAGCTATAGCCTAAAGCTGTCAGGAGTGATATTAATGGCAATTGAAATAACAAGCTATGATTGCCTCTACCCCATTGTACTCCCAGCTTTTTTTCTTCACCATAATAGCTGTGATTACAGAGAAGGCATTGAACCCTGTGTTCAGCACAACTGTTCATAACACTGGAAGAAAAGGGTTGTGTAGCATTCAGTCTTGCAGTTCCATTACAGAACTTTTTGAAGAAAAAAAGTTCAAGGTGACTGGTCAGAGAATGTTACTAGCAGAAAATAAGTTCTGCAAGGCTTGGTAGTCATTTCACAGAAGAAGAATCTTAATTCCTGAGGTTATAGGCGTGCACAAAATCTAATATAGAAAATGATAAACTATTTATCAACTCATTTCTTCAATTATCTCTGTATATCCACTTGCCAAATGTAACATGCCAGTAGCAATCTTTAATCTACTTATTTGTATGGTTCCTTGGTTCTACTATGATGTGCAGGCAAGAGATGAAAATATTAGTAGTATATTAGAGCTATTATACTTGTTAGCTTTGGAGGCCGAATTTAAATATGCAGAGAAATCTTCCTTCTTTTTAAAATGTAGTTTATAAATATTTCCCAAGATATTTACCTCTGTCTTGAATGTCCCAGTTTGTTTATTCTCCACCACAACAATTCAGGGCATTGCATGGAACCAGAACCACAAGTTACAATAACAAAAGGATTGACCTGGGAAGCTGTTTGGTCTGGTGCTAGTGACAAAGGTGATTTTGTTTTAATATCTGTTTTTATTTATTGTTGTAAGTTGCATAGGATAATTATATCAGGCAACTTCCACAAATAATAATTAAATAAATAAGCATGGCTCCATATTTTATACCTAAGACATTTAGTACCTTGAATCCAGAACTTTGCCCCTCAATTTCACAGAAATGTGTACATTCAAGTTATCTTTTAATAATGGATGTATTCGTAATTGCAATCTGCACTTGAATTATCAGCAAACTTGACTTTCAATCAAAATTGTGCATTGTTTCTTTGCCACAAAGAAGAGTACAGTAGTCTACAACATAGAACGTCGGTATTTTTTCAGCCCTTTCAGGTAGGCCAGACTAAGAAATTGACTCCCCGAGTTTAACCGGAACTATAGCTTATTGATATGAGTTATAATAACAGGATTTTGGCAGCTTGACTGTATTTTCTTTTCCTCTCTTTAATATCCTAGGAGCAGAATATTTTTGTTTGTTTCCTGAGCTTAAAATATATTGTTTACATGTTGTTGCAGTTGGCTTTGCGCAGTGGCTGTATCGTAACCAATGAGGTTTATCCGAGGCGCGATTATTGCTAATTATATAGAGCCTTGGTGGCGCAGCAGACTAAAGCACTGTTAAGTAACACCAGCTGTCTGCAATTACTGCAAGTTCAAATCTCACCAGGCTCAAGGTTGACTCAGTGTTCCATCCTTTTGAGGTAGGTAAAATGAGGACCCAGTTTCTGAGGGCAATAAGCTGACTTTGTATAAAAAAGAACACCACTTTGGGGGGGGGAGGCGAAAGCCCTACTAAGCAGGTATATACAAAAGTATGAAGGCTATTGCTTAACGCATTGTAAGCTGCCCTGAGTCTCCGGATAAGAGTGGCATATAAATTGAACCAATAAATAAATAAATAAATAAATAAATATCTCTACATAGCTTCTCTAAAGTAATCTCTGAGATTTTCTACACTTTATCTTACTAAATTAATTTTGTTTCTCTCTGAATTGCCTGCATTTCCCTCATTGAAATAAATGTACTCTCTCTACATTCATTTTTCTCTCATTGAATTGAATAATGTGCTAATTTTTCATGGATTACTACTGCTTATTTATGTATATTAATGTCAGATGTTCCTTTCTTTCCATAAACTGTCATATGTTTATTATTTGAATTCATTTACATCATTGATTTAAAAAATAGTTCATAAATTATATTGATTGATTATTAAATACAGTTTCATTTTTGGACATCCAGAATGTATAGGCCTGTTTAATATCTTCATTGTAGAGGTTCTGAGAGTATCAGCTGTCTACTAGGTCCTGTTGCAGCAACCATTGTTATTCCAAGGAGACACGTATTTCAATTTCTTCTATTAACTAGAAGTTTAGAGCTCATTATGAGTTAGCCTGCTTGGTGTTTTTTCTCTTGTTTACTGAATAAAAGAAAAGGGGAAGCAATTTTCAGCTTACTTCGAAGATTCAAAGCTGTGAAAGTCTCAGACTTTTGATTTCATCCCAGAGTCATGTGCCAGTCAAGGTCAGGTCTTGCAGTCTTCTGACCATAGCAGGGCTATGAAGCAGTGGGTTTCAAATTTTTTTACTACTGGTTCTGTGGTGTGGCTTGGTGGGGATGGCCTGGCTTGGTGGGCATGACTTGGTGGGCGTGGCAGGGGAAGGATACTGTAAAATCTCCATTCCCACCCCACTTCAGGGTAAGGATACTATAAAATATCCATTCCCTCCCCACTCCAGGGGAAGGTTACTGCAAAATCCCTATTTCCTCCCAATCAGCTGGGACTCAGGAGGCAAAGAATAGATGGGGGTGGGGCCAGTCAGAGGTGGTATTTACCAGTTCTATAAACTACTCAAAATTTCTGCTACTGGTTCTCCAGAACTGGTCAGAACCTGCTGAAACTCACCTCTGCTATGAAGCCATGGTGACAGATTCTGACAAAAACTGCAGGGTTGTTGTTGCTTGTTAGGAATTTCTGCACATAACCTAGTGTAGATACTGTAGAAATTGGCTATTCTTGGAGTATCTGTACAGTCATTAAGGAGCTCCTGCGTTATCTTTCTTGGTATGCATGGTTTTTATATTATGCTTTACAATCTGTCTCTTTTAGCTAATAATAAAGCTTAAATGCCTTTATTTTCTGGTGTGTGTTTGTCTTTAGATCCAAAAAGAACCAACTGCTAGACACCCTGACACTAGGCAAAACAGGCCCCAGTTCACATAGACATAGGAACTATCAATCTCTGTTCATTGTCCTATTCTTGAGTTAAAAGAGCCATACAATTCTTCATCATTTGATTACATTTGGTGGTATCTTTTGCATATCTCCCCATGAAAATGTCATTCAAGTTTATAACATGTATCTTCTTACAAAACAGTGCCTATATTCCTTTGAGGAAAGGGTTCTTGGATTTGTGGAAAAGGGAACCAGCAAGAAAGATTTTTGGCAAAGGGCATTATGAACAAAAATGAGGTAGAGATATCACTATGAAGTAAGAAAAAGCCAAGGAAGGATAAAATATATTCTTTTGGAAATGACCACCAAGGAAAGAAATGATGAGAAATAGGCCAGACAGTGAAAAAAAGAAGTGGAAAACAACAAAAAACCACCTCTTTCCTACCATTCCACAATATCCACAACCTAAAGCGAATGGGACACATTTGGATTTGGGGTCAGCAGAGGTGACAGAATAGGAAAGCAAAGATGTTGTGGGATGGAACTTCAAGAAGAACATAGCATTTGAATCCTGAACAAAAACCTGCATATTTATATCATTTTGCTGTAAATTCTATTTGTGAATGTATTATTACTCATATGTTTATATCTTAACTCCGAAAGGAAAAATAAAAACAATAATTCAGTGATTCATATGTTTCTGAATAAGCAATAAATAATATAAGTTGAACAAGTTGAAAGATATAACAAATACCAAGCAGCATTTACCCAAATACAGCTTTTACAGTTTCAAGTCCTTTTCAATCCTAGGTACCAAAAATATATTTTAACAACAACAAAAGCCCTCTTCAGCTCTTTTTTGTATGTGTAGTAAATGTATTATGGAGATAGAACGGTTACACAAATCTTGGATTTGGTCATAAATTGAATGTTTTCTGCCATAACCAGGGGAATAACCCCCTACTTCTATAAAAAGCATCACCAAACATTAGATTAATATTTTGTCTCTATGACCTACAAACAAGTTGCCCATAATTGCACAAATGAAACATAGTTTTCAGGAATTTCACAAAATTGAAAACTTCATAGAATTGTTTCTATTCATCATTTAGGAGAGAAGTTCTTAATTTCTTTCTTTGCCACTTTATGCATATAGCACAAAATCGAACAGTTTACCTGACAGTGTGAATGTTTTCCTTGAAGCTGAATGCTTTCAGATCACATTGTATTATGAGGCAATTTTCTAATGCTGCTGAGAACATAGAACAATACATTCAGATATGATTGATAAGTTGAAGTAATTTAAAGAGGATTATTTTTTTCTACGCACATTTTAGTGATTATGTTGTGAACATTTCTTGTGGTACTAGAACAATGTTTAATTATTGAAGAGCTGAAATCATTATAAAACTGATAAGAGATGGACACCAAGCATTCTCTTGTTTGGCAGTTTGTGATTGTATCTATCTTTCATAATCCTATCTTTCAGTGCTCCAAAGACCACTGAGTTTGTTTTTTTTTACTTTCCTCTTTTCCCTAGATACTTTGATTATTTTACTCAAAAACCATATTTCTCTATTTCTATATCATATTGATACATATTTTCTGTCTGACATTTTATTTTTTATTTTATTTCTTTTCAGATTAACTGGTTTAAGGAGAGATTTATAATGTGCCCTATGTCCTTTTTATCTGGTCTAAAGTGATGAAATTACCCAAGTAATACCTTACAGATATACTGTGCACTTCACCTTTCAAATCCCAGATGATCTTACATTTTATATAGACAGCAATCACTCCATCCATCACTAAAATACAATTGCTTCTCTGGTGGACTTCTTGAAATAGTAATGTATGACAAAACTGCAGATAAGAGCAACACTTCAGAATATAAATTGAGGGAGGATTAATATAGCATAGCAATAGCACTTAGACTTATATACCGCATCCCAGTGCTTTACAGCCATCACTAAACGGTTTACAGAGTCAGCATATTGCCCCCAACGATCTGGGTCCTCATTTTACTGATCTCAGAAGGATGGAAGGTTGAGTCCACTTTGAACCAGTGAGGATCAAACCCCTGGCAGTCAGCAGAATTAGCCTGCAATATTGCATTCTAACCACTGTGCCACCATGGTTCTGCATTGTAATCACTTTTAACAGATTTTTGACCAAATAACCCGACGTAACACTGTTTTAAATCTATTTTAATTTTACTGCTTTGATAAAATATAAGACTAAGTAGAAAAGGAATAATGTTAACTCTTGATATTATTTCCATAGGACATTTTGATTCCTTCAGTTTTTACTACTTCAGCCTGGCAGATGTTTTTGATAGCCGGGGCCTGACTTCTTCAGTATTGTTGACAGAAGAATCAATGCAATCACAAGCAGTCGTGGTGAGAGTGAGTCTCCTTGAAAGTCTATCATCATTGACCAGCAACTGTGTCTTTCATTGTGCCATTGATCTTTGCATAAAGATCTGAGGTTTCGACTGATTCCTGTTATTTCTAGTCACATGATTATCCAATCAGGTAGCAGGGAGTCAAATGCCTTCTTGTAATCACTCCAAACTACACTCAAGTAGGTCTTCCTTCTTTTGCAGTTTTCTAAAATCATCTTGTCAAGTAGAAGTTGATCTTTTGTTTCTCTGCTGTATTGGCAGTTTCCTTTCTGTTCAGGTGGAAAGAGCTTGTTTTCAACTAGATGCTGTTGGTCTGCATCAGCTACCACAGCAATTAGCAATTTGAAGGTTGTCAGTAAACATTTAATTGGCCTGTACTTGCTTGGTTCTGATCTTCTGTTGGATCTGTCATTTATTTATTTATTTATTTATTTATTTATTTATTTATTTATTTATTTATTTATTTATTCATTCATTCATTCATTCATTCATTCATTCATTCATTCATTCAATTTCTATACCGCCCTTCTCCCGAAGGACTCAGGGCAGTGAACAGTTAAAATAACATACATATAAAATGTGAATATAAGATGATTAAGCCAATTTGGTTCATCGGTTAAGAATCCTAATGATGAATTAATCAGGTAGCTTTTGACAGAGGCTAACCTATCTTCAGTTTCACCTCCTTGCAGGATGTTGTTAAACTGATTAGCAATGAGGGTTGTAGATAGTCAAATTCCCCCCCCCACACACACACAAACCCCACATGCAGTTACCTGATGCTGAACAATTCTGGATCTCCTTGCCCTTTTCTCCAGCATTTTTTCTTACCCACCTACTTTATCCAAGCTGCATTTTTGTTATATATTTTTGAGGTTGTCACATAGTTGTACACAGAACTACCTTGATTTTTCCTTGTCAAGTGTTGACTGGTTCATTGCAGTCTCTCTATTGATGGATTGATGAACTCTGTCAAAGAGTTTTGACTGGGGAATCAGAAGGAGAGCCTTTTCTCCATGAACCCTATTTTTTGGAATGTCTTGCCACCTGATGCCTGTCTTCACCCTTTTGGCCTCCTGGAATAGTGTTAAAACCTGTCTTTACCAGACAGCCTGGGGTCC